ATATCGAATATCGAATGTTTTAACAAGGTATCGCATATCGCATTTTTTTTCAATATCGCACAGCCCTACTCAGAAGAAATAAAAATAGATGCAAATGAGTAAATTGTTGATGTAAAGTAAGAATTGATAGCTATATAGTTAGTGTGGTTAGCAGTTCAGATCTTTAATATTGGAAATTCTAGATGCGAAATGTTTGAGGTCTCTGTCTTTTGATTGCAGAAATTGCTTAAAATATTCATTTTAAATAAATACGTTTTAAGGAAATAAAACATTTATTTAAAATGTATAAATTAATGAATACATTGAAATTTATAAAAAAATATTTGTATAAAAATTATCTAGCAAATCTGAGCATGATTTGAGATCAAGAGGAGACATAGGTTTACTGAGCAGTGCTATTTTAGTATCATTAATGTACTATTATAGTTTTTGTTAATATTTTGAATTAACTTTAACAAAAAATATGAAATATATTTTTAAAAATCTAAGTAATTTATTTTGTGTTCTTGTCATTTTTAATTAAGTTTTAGTCTGTTGAGTTTTAATTATTTTAATACTTAAAACTTAAACTAAATGAAAATGAGAAATGTTGCCTTGACTGAAATATATATATTTTTACATTTTCTTCAATTACAGTTAATATTTATTCTATTAATTTAATTTGATGCTTAAGTCTAAACTTGCCCAATCTAATCTAATTACTGGCTAAAGAGAAACAACTGACATATTAAAGCGATCTCATTAGTGATTTCTCTTTCCCATGGACTTTGTTGACTGTATTTGCGTGTGTTGTTCAGGTATTTTTTCCCCTGTCAGCGCTGGTTGGCGGTTGATGAAGATGACGGGCAGCTGGGCCGTGAATTAGTGCCCGTAGACGAGGCTTTCATGAAGAGAGATGAAGATGAAGAAGAGGAGTCCTCGCCTGCTCAACTCGGATTAGAGCAAAAAGGTTTTGAATGTTACACAAGCGTTCTGCTTTAACCTAATGGCATGTGCTCATTGCATTGATATTACATTGATTATGTCTGTGTGTAGCCATGTCAACCACATTCACAATGAGAGTAAAAACAGGGGAGAAGAAGAGCGCCGGGACAGATGCAAACGTTTATGCAATTCTTTACGGAACCAAAGATGACACTGGTAACTATGAAAACAATTCAGACTGTACTAGTAATAGTATTAGCCCAGCAGCTACTGAAAAGTGTGTTTGTGTGTGTCAGGGATCATTAATCTAAAGGCGTCTAAGAACCATAGGAACAAGTTTGAGTTGGGACTGATTGACGAGTTCACCATAGAGGCAGTGGACATCGGAAAACTCAAGAGAATCCGCATCGGACACGACAACGCAGGTACACACATTCACATTAGACATCACTCTAGAACAGGGGTGCTCAAACTCGGTCCTGGAGTTGATCACAGAAATAAATTAAATTTTACAATATGTTAAAATAGAAAACATTTATTTTAAATTGTAATATTTCACAATATTACAATTTGTACTGTACTTTTGATCAAATAAATGCAGTCTTTGGTGACTTCTTTCAAAAACTGTTCACTTGTATTGTAAAAAATACTAAAAAATTAACAGTTTCAATTGAGTGATGTGCATGCATAATGAATTCAGTAGGGTTTGTGCATGCATAAAAATTAAGATTTATTTATATCTATGGGAATATGTGTCTGTATTTTTGTCTTTTTTGCATTAAACTGTCACTTAATTTGTGATAATTTAATTTGACTGGCTTTCTTCTGAATCCCCAGCACAAGCAGCATTGGTGTAAGTCCTACAGACAATTACTTACAGTGTACATGTGTGTATGTGGATGTTGCACATGTCTCTTTGTGTGTTTGTTTGTGTGTGTGTGTTGTCCTGTTTTCTCAGGTGTGTCTCCAGGCTGGTTTCTGGATTGGGTAGAGATCGATGCTCCGTCTCTGGGTCAGCTGCTGCGGTTTCCATGTGGCCGCTGGCTGGATAAAGGAAAAGACGATGGTGCCATTGACAGAGACCTGTACCCTAATGAACTGCAGACAGTACTATACACACCCTGTATGATACATGTTTATGTAGCTAATTATAATGATTACAGACTAATACTAAGCCTTATTTATCTTATCTTACTTTTCTTTGACATGCATTTTTATGTGTCATAAATACAGAAAGATGCAAATTTGTGTCACAACACTCATAGACAGACCTACACAGGCTGTTTGTGATTCATGTGCTTTGCTCTTTTGTGTTGTAGTTGTTCCCTATGAGATTAAAATCTTCACCAGTGATATATTTGCTGCGGGAACGGACGCAGACGTCTTCATCATTCTGTACGGGCAGAACGGAGTGTGTACGTCTCAGAAATCTCTCTGCGTTAATAAGAGAGAGAGGAGGATGTACTTTGAACGAGGGGCGGAGGACATGTTCATCGTAGAGGTAAATGAGGAGATCAATTCTGTGCTGCTCAACATATGTGACCCTTGAGCACAAAACCAGTCTTAAGTCGCTGGGGTATATTTGTAGCAATAGCCAAAAAAACATTGTAGGGGTCAAAATTATTGATTTTTCTTTTATGCCAAAAATCATTAGGATATTAAGTAAAGACCATGAAGATATTTTGTAAATTTCCTACCGTAAATATATCAAAACTTAATTTTTGATTAGTAATATGCATTGCTAAGAACTTAATTTGGACAACTTTAAAGGTGATTTTCTTATTTAGATTTTTTTTGCACACTCAGAATCCAGATTTTCAAATAGTTGTATCTCGGCCAAATATTGCCCTATCCTAACAAACCACACATCAATGGAAAGCTTATTTATTCAACTTTCAGATGACGTATAAATCTCAATTTCGAAAAATTTACCCATATGACTGGTTTTGTGGTCCAGGGTCACATATATGTAAAGCTAGTGGGGTTGAAAAGCAATGCTATTTGTCCTGCTTTATGTGCTGAGTTTTGCTGGTAAAGTTTTGTTGCTTGACCAACAACAGACCTTACAGTTTTAGTTACTTTAGTACATCAAGTAAAACTAAATTAAAATGTTGCCTTGGCAACTAGTTGAAATATTTTTTTATGTTTTATTTTATTTTATTTCAAGCAATGAAAATGTTTTTTTTTTCCTAGTTTTAATTTTAATTTTACTTTCAGTTTTATTTTTAGTTAACTATAATAACCCTGAAAAAGCCTGAACGAGTAGAAATTCATCTTGGTCCTAGCTTCATTTGAACATTTGAGCTTTTCTATTAATAATTAAAAAATGGCTTACACTGACAGCAATGGTGTTGATGTTGACTTTGGGCTTCTGTAGTTGGAGGACATTGGTGATATCATTGAGAAAATCCGTATCGGTCACGATAATCGAGGGGTGAATCCTGGCTGGCATTTAGACCGTGTGGAAATTCGCAGGCTGCTTCGGAAAGGAAAGGTATTGCTCATTTTCCTACCATACTTCACCAAACTGTTTGGTTTGACAGAGTTAAACAGCTTGTGCACAAATCTGCATCTACTGTACAGGACAGACTTCTTGAAATACAGTTTGGTTTGTCTAATCTTTGCCCACAGCATTTTTGGAAAACTTTCAAGTGATCCAGAAACAACATATCCTGCCAATTTCAGCCTCTTAAACGTCATGTAAAACAGCAAGCCGTGGCTGATCCTTTCACATCAAACGTTCCTTTCCTGCCTAAAGGCCCATTCACACCAAGAACGATAACTATAAAGATAACTATATGAGCGTCCACACCAGCAGACGATATTGTCTGTTTATTCTAAGCGCACGCTCGTCTGCCGCTTTAAATGCTGGAGCTCATTATAGCAGGATTGATTCTGATTGGCTGTCAATGCTTTTATCGTTCATCAGCTGGAAAAAATAATTCTGAAAGTGATTCCAATGATATCGTTTCTCTGTGCCTTTATCGTTATAGCTGTGGTGTGGACTCTGCTATTCTTTAATATTAAGAACGATTTTTAGAACTATATCTTCATTGTTATCTTTATAGTGATCGTCCTTGGTGTGAACAGGCCTCAAGTGGGTCTTAATTCTGGCAACGTGAAACGTGGTTGAGTCTAGAATGTTCCCGTCTGGCTGTGGAAAACCTTCTTTTCCTCTCCACTGTCTGTCGTACACCCATTTCATTGACCCACATCTGCTCTCTGTTGCCGTTTGTATAATTAGTTCCAGTGACTAATCTTCTCTGACCTGTCTCTCCACTCCAGCGCTATCTGTGTACAGTAGAGGAGTGAAACACTGCCTCTGCTGTAGCTCCGTCAAGCACATCACACCAGCGTGAAACTCTGATATCAACATGCACATCCACCGTTACCAGCAGAAACTGTTTATTTACAGTACCGTTCAGTAAGATTTTTTTAAAGAAATAAGTACTTTTACTCAGCAAGGATGCATTGAATTGATCAGAAGTGACAGTAAAGACATTTAGGTAACACTTTATTTTAAGGTGTCCTTGTTACACGTTACATGTGTTTACTATTGTAATATAACCATTAATTATGCATAATTACATGCAAGTAACCCTTAGCCAGACCCTAATCCTAACCCTGACCATATAGTAAGTACATGTAGTTAATTAAATTTACTCATTACTTAAATGTATTATTACACTGTAACAAGAACACCTTAAAATAAAGTGTAACCGACATTTATGTTACAGAAGATTTCTACTTCTTATAAATACTGTTCTTTTGAATTTTCAATTCATTAAAAAATCAAGAAAAAAATGTATCACAGTTTCCACAAAAATATGAAGCAGCACAACTGTTTTCAGCATTGCTAATACTAAGAAATATTTATTGAGCAGCAAATCAGCATATTAGAATGATTTCTGAAGGATCATGTGACACTGAAGACTGGAGTAATAATGCTGAAAATTCAGCTTTGATCACAGGAATAAATTACATTTGACAATATATTCAAATAGAAAACAGTTTTTTGAAATTGTAATAATATTTAACCATTTTTACTGTATTTTTGATCAAATAAATGCAGCCATGTTGAGCATAAACGATTTCTTTCAAATAAATATTACCGACCCTAAACTTTTGACTGGTACAGTATATTACATATATTCCTTGACACGGCCTGTCCGATGGATTTTGATATTTGATGTATTTCTGATGATTATTTCATGAATTGGATGATTTTTGGATGATTATTTTACTGAAATTTAAAACTAGCCTCCTCTATCCCATTTTCTGACCAAGCTGGTCAGTTTACTACTAAACATGTAGTCCTAAACTCATGCCATTGGTTGAGTCCGATAACAAGTCTAACCTTAAACATAATTTTCATGTCAACCTACTTAGGGTTGCATTATGAGCAAGTGTAGTAAAAAATATTATAACAGTGAAAAAACTACACATTTAACCTTTGAATAAACACTTCATAGTATTATTCATCTAATTTCCTCTAATAAAATGTAAAGGACTAATATTCAATGTGCCAAGACTCAAAAATGTGTGTGCACATGCAGGGCTCTGAGACGGCGATATTCCCTTGTGAGGGATGGTTAGCTCGCTCGGAGGAGGACGGCGAGACCATTCGAGAGCTGGTGCCGTCTGACATCATCGTGGAGAAACTTTCACGAGACGGAACCCTCAAAGTCATCGAGACAGAGGTGGACGACGCGCTGGAGAGTAAGTGTGTGGACAGTTTTTTATTTAGAATCGCCTAGATGTATTATATTTATGCATTCAGCAGACACATACAGAGTTCTGGCATGAAACTCTAGATGGCGCAGTCCGATAGTCTAACTGACTGCCGCAGTCTTAACTCAATCTGACCTAATGACATCATCATATGGCACAGCTGATTGGTTCTCTCCTGTATCGGTAGCCAATGAGCTCGCTGCTCAACATTCAAATATATGATTAGTGCTGGCAGTAGCAGTTGCAGCTTGCTTCAGAAACCCTCCACCTTCCCCAGCTCCCAAGACCAAATACATTAACATTGTCATGTACATTACCATGCCAATCCCTCCGAGAGTTGTCATGACAGAACTGGTTTTATGCAAAATGACTGCATTCAAACTATACATTTTTTAATTAATTAATTACCTGGGAATCGAACCCATGACCTTGGTGTTGCAAGCACAATGCTCTACTATTTGAGCAACAGGAAGACTGTTGCATATATGTGTGTGTTGCAGTACACACGTATACAGTGGCGGTGACCACCGGGGACGTGTATGGAGCGGGAACCGATGCCAACGTGTTCATCACTCTTTACGGAGACATGGGCGATACTGGAGAGCGTAAACTCAGCAAGTCTGAGAACAGCAACAAGTTTGAGAGAGGATCGGTGAGACACACAAATAATAAAAGTATTACTGACCCCAAACTTTTCAACAGTTGTGTACTTGCCCTCTGATTGGCTGCTGACAATGATTGCTTCTGATTGGCCAGGTGGACACATTCACTCTGGAGGCTGTGGATCTGGGCCAGGTGTTCAAGATCCGAGTTCGCCATGACAACAGCATGCTGAGTGCTGATTGGTATCTGGACCAGGTGGAAGTGGTGGACCAAGATACGGAGGAAGTGTTTTTGTTTTTGTGTGAACGATGGCTTTCGAGAAAGAAGGAGGACAAACGGATCGACAGGGTGTTCTATGTTAAGGTCTGCCTGCATGTGTGCATGCGTGCACCCGTGCATGCATGCGTTAACAATGTTACAGCATTACAGACTAGTCCAGAGCACATCCAGATGTATATACTGTGTGTATATGTGTGTAGGGGTATGAGGGAGAGCGAGAGACCGCCTTCTGTCCAATTAAAAAAGTGACAAATCTGGACAGCAACATGAACAAGAAAAACAAGAAGCGACATTCAGAAAAAGAAGAAGACGATGAAGGATCATGTATGTATAAGCATATAGAGTCCCACTCCACAACATACAGTGGGCTTCAAAGGTCTGAGACTATCAATTGTTCTATTTTGGATTTTTATATTATTTACTAGAATATTTTCATTACAAATGATATGCTAACACTTTACAATAAGGTCTCATTTGTTAACATTAACTTTTAACTTTTTTTTTTTTCAAAATTATATATATATTTTTAAATGTTATTTATTTACATATCAATTTATAATTGACAATTTTTGGTTAAATAATAATTTAATTTAATTTAATTTAAAGCCCTGGCAACCACCCACAACACCCTTGCATTGTGAACGTTTTTGCATGAGTAAACTATTTTCTAGTGGAATTTAATATGAGGGAAGAAATTAAATGTTGTGTGTGTGTGTGTGTGTGTAGTAATTCCCTACCACTTCTCGGTGACGACGGGGTTGGATCGGGATGCTGGGACGAGTAGCCGAGTGTATGTCATCATCATAGGAAAGAAGAACAAGAAGACAGAACACCTCTGGCTCGACTTGGATGGGAAAACCGGATTCATGCCTGGATCCTTGGATTACTTCAGCTGTTTCGGAACTGATGTTGGCGACATCAAGAAAGTGGAAGTAAGGGAAAGCGCACTCACAGATTCAGTAGTTTTTCATTTAATAAGCTTGATGTACAGTATGTATAGATACGGTAAGATGTCAGATTGCTGGTTTGTGTTGTGTGTAGTTGGGTCATGATGGGGCGACTCCAGAGAGCTGCTGGTTAGTGGAGGAGTTGACTGTCGAGGTGCCGACTAAAGCAGTGCGCTACCTGTTTCCATGTAAATGCTGGTTGGCCAAAGACAGAGGAGACGGACTCACCGCCCGCTTCCTAGATGTGCAGGATGCAGAAACTGTTAATATCCCACAGAAGGTACACCATTTCATTTCCTTCTACCTTAAAAATATGAATAGCTCATGTAAGATTTTTATAGATTTGTTTATTCTTTAGGTGAACTTTATTAAACATTATTTTATCTATCTATCTATCATAATTTTTTTAAAGTATACACTACTGTTCAAAAGTTTAGGGTTGGTATGATTTTTTTTGAAAAAAATCTATTCTACTCACCAAGGCTGCATTTATTTGATCAAAAATACAGTAAAAACAGTAATATTGTGAAACATTATTACAATTTAAAGTAGCTATTTTCTATTTGAAAATATTTTAAGATGTAATTTATTCCTGTGATGCAAAACTTCATTTTCAGCATCATTACTCCAGTCTTCAGTGTCACATGATCCTTCAGAAATCATTCTAATATGCTGATTTGCTGCTATATACTACAGAAGGTGTACTTCATGAAAGATGTTTTTCTCCTAGGTGATCTATGAGGTGACGGTGATAACAGGAGATGTCCAGCACGCAGGTACAGACACACAGATCTACATGACTGTGTTTGGAGTCTACGGCACGTCAGAGGAAATGCTGCTGCCAAAATTAGAGGACAGGTACACACATACACAAAGATGCTCATTATTGCAAGATAAATGTAATGTTTTCATGTAGCTTATTTTTTAAAATATTGATTTGAGTTGAAAAATGTAAGATTTTAGGGGAAAAAAAATTAAATTAGAATGCAACTTAGCAAATCGGTTACCTGCAGTGTTGTTTTATAGACATTGATGTACTACTATAGTTTTTGTTAATATTTTGAATTCGACTTTATTTTTATATTTTTGTTTTCACTTTAATTTTAGTCAGTTTTAGTAATTTTGTTGCGTTTATTTTTATTCATTTTTTAAATGTCTATAGTTTTTATAATTTTTTTTATTAATTTTGTTTTAGTCATTTTAGTACCTCAGTACAAGTATTACATCTAAATGAAAATAGGTGAAATAAAATAAGTTTCAAGTAACAACATTTTTTATGGTTTTATAACCAACCTGGTTACATGCGACCACAGTCTCTTAAAAATTATTATGCATAGAAACATGCTAAAACGATCTAATTTGTGTGTGTTTTATGTGTGTAGGTTTGAACGAGGGCAGAAAGACACATTCAATCTGGAGATTGAGGATATCGCTCCTTTGAGAAAGATGAGAGTGCGTATAGATGGTTCTGGAAGCAGACCCGACTGGTTCCTGGATAAGGTTTGTAAGAGGAAGTGACATACGTATACTGTAACCTCCCAAGCCTTTAAACATATTAATGTGTGTATGTATGTAGATTGAACTGCATAACCTGCAGACGGATGAAGTGGCATTATTTACGTACGAGGAATGGCTGTCTCGCTCATACGGGCCCAAGCGAACGCTCCTATGCGAGATGCCTGCCGAGATAAATGACGACGAAATGGTGGAGCTTACCACCTACACCGTTTCTGTGAAGACCAGCGATGTAACTGGTGCGCGCTTCCTTGTAACTGTCTATAACTACCTCAAAACACTTCTTCGATTGATTGCGTTTGTGGTCACAGATACAGCAGATTGTAACCTATGATTGGTTGCTTTTTAGCGGCTGGAACCGATGCTAACTTGTGGATGATTATTTTTGGTGAGAACGGTGACACTGGAACGCTGACTCTGAAAGAAAGCAACAACACCAACAAGTTTGAGCGCAAACAGACGGACACTTTCCGTTTCTCTGACATCCTCAGCTTGGGCGAGCTCTCGAAAGTGCGCATTTGGCACGACAACTCAGGTGAGCCAATCAGAGCGCTCAGAGCGACACTAGTGATGAGCATATTAGCCAGTTAAACTCAGGGTAGGTCTGTGTATGACCTAAAAACTGTGTATGTTTATATGCTCAAAACAAGTGTGTGTGTGTTGACAGGTCTGGCTGCTGGTTGGCACCTGGAGTATGTGGACGTGCACGATGACATCTTGGAGAAGAAGTTTCGTTTCCAGTGTGATCGCTGGCTCGCCAAGAACGAGGGTGATGGACAGATAATGAGAGAGCTGGCGTGTGCCAACAACGATGCAGTGGATTTCGATGAAAAAACCAGTGAGACACATGCGTTTATACACACTCACAAATGGAGATGAATAAAAACAGTTCAATTTCACAGAATTCCTTTGGACTTCATAACAATTAGTCATTGATTAACTGTCCCATTGGCAACCCATTTTGCATCCATAATGTGGCATATTTCCAAGTGAAACCGAATATTAAACACAAACTGAATGCATGGAGAAGTGTCTCTGGATGACAGGTGGTTGAAGGAAATTACATTATTTAATGGACATTATTTCTTTGGAATAACATGCACAAATGAATCAAACACTAAAAGATCAGGAACATGTATTGAAAATTTAATTTAAATGAGTTCATTGTTGAATTAGTTAATTGTAAATGTTGACATACGTACATATTCGTGTATGTATGCATATTTGTATATATATATATATATATATATATATGTATACATACATACAAATAATACAATTGATAAAAATATTATATAAATGTAAGATTAAGAAGCTGTTTTGAACATTTATAATAATAAAAACCATTATTAATTAGAATGATTATTTAATTATTAATTAATGACACTGGAGTAACGGCTGCTGAAAATTCAGCTTTGCCATCAAAGGAATAAATTACATTTTAAAATATATTACAATAGCAAAAAGTTATTTTAAATTGTAATAATATTTCACAATATAACAATTTTTATTGTGTTTTTAAACAATTAAATGCAGCCTTGGTGGGCGCGAGAGGCTTGCAAAAACATTTAAATATCTTAATTATTTGTATTATTTACTTAATTATGTAAATTTGAAATTCTAGATATTAGATTTGATATAACACCATGTGTTTTGTCTAATACAGAATATGAGATCCTGGTCACGACAGCAGATGCAGATGATGCTGAAACCAAAGAAAACGCCTGGATCGTTCTAGAAGGGAAGAAAGGACGTTCCAAAGAGTTTATGATGGAGAACTTGACTAAAAAGAAGCGTTTTTTACGGTAGGTGTGCATTCGTTTCTCTGCTGGTTTTCATTTTTCATTGGTTAACATGCATTATGCTGCTACATGTGTGATTTCAGAGGCGCTTCGGACCGCTTTGAGTTCTCCTCCAAGGAGCTGGGAGACATCGCAAGCATCTGTCTGGGACACATCCCTAAAGATGGCAAGAAAGTTAAAGCTGAAGCCTCCTGGTTTGTGGAAGAGGTTGTTGTCACGGAGAAGGAGCTGGGCAATAAGTGAGTGACCATTGACTTTAAAGGGATAGTTCACCTCAAAATGAAAATTGGCTTCATTTACTCACCAAGTTTTTCCAAACCTGTATGAACTTCTTTCTTCTGTTGAACACAAAAGAAGATATTTTGAAGAATGTTGGTAACCAAACAGTCGCTGGTAGCCATTGTCTTCAATAGTATAGAAACAAATACAATGGAAGTCAACGGCTAACAGCAACTACCAGTGTTAAATAATGGTTTAAACCTCAGGATCTGGACTACTGAGGCTAGTAAATGCATGTTCTGTACAATCCATAATCTGTCCTATTTCACTCAGGTATATTTTCCGTTGTGACACCGCCATCCCTCTTTCCTCAAAACGGGATGAGTTCCAGACCTTCGAGTGCAGCAAGTTCATCGAGAGCTTCACCAGCAAGGCCCAAAGCCTCGTACCTGTAAAATACGAGCTCATCGTTATCACGGGCGACGACAAGGGCGCAGGCACTGACGCCAACGTCTTCATCACCATCTTCGGCTCCAACGGCGACTCCGGTCAGAGGCAGCTTACCAAGAAGTTCCAGAACCTGTTTGAGCGTGGCCAGACAAACCGGTTTATTCTAGAACTGCTGGACCTGGGCGATCTGCTCCGCATGCACGTGGAACACGATAACTCCGGACTCAGTCCCGGATGGCTCCTGAGCAGGATCGAGATTACAAACACGGCCAACGCTGTGACCACGATCTTCATTTGTGGGAAATGGCTGGACAAAAACAAAGCGGACGGGAAGATAAAGCGTGTGATCTATCCAAAGTATTGACATTTATTCAACCAGCCAATGGTTCGGTCAGTATTACTAGTGAATATTCATTACACGATGTGCTCGTATCAACAATCCTTTGGTTATTTACTCACACTAATGTTGTTCCAAACTTGTATGACTTTGAAACACATAAGATCTCCATACTGTGACAGTCAATGGATTCCAATGTTGTTTGGACCCAAACAGTCTTCAAAATATCTTATTTTGTGTTTAGCAGAAGAAAGAAAGCCATACAGGTTTGGATGTTCATTTTTGGGTGAGGTAACCTTTTTAATGTTAAAATACTTTTCCAGCCACAGTTTAATGTTCAGCTATAAGTAAACCATGACTGAGTGGATGGTTTTGAGCTATACCTGCATTTCATTCAACGTCTTATTCCTACTGCAAAAGACTACCAACTTGAAGTCTGAATTCTTGGACTTTTGCAATTCTTTTTGTCCCTAATGGGTTAAATTGTAATGAAATTTCATTGAGATCCCTTATTGTTTTTGCTTTTTTGTCGCTAAAAAAGTTGTGAAATTTTGCAGAGAAAAAAGACCAGCGTCTTGTCAATAGTGAAAAGATGCATGAAGCTTGAACTGGAACATGTGAAAACTCGAAATCTGGGAAATCATTTGCCCGCACATGAAATTCACGGTCGTGTGAATTCCTATTGAGATTACTGGATTTCGACCACAGAAATCGTCCGAACAATGTTAAATGTGACCACACCTATATGAGTTTCTTTCTTCTGCTGAGCACAGAAGATGATATTTTGAAGAATGTTGGTAACCAAACAGTTGACGGCAGCCATTGACTTCCATAGTATTTTTTTTTCCCATAATATGGAAGTCAATGGCTGCCAGCAACTGTTTGGTTTCTAGCATTCTTCAAAATATCTTCTTTTGTGCTCAACAGAAGAAAAAAACTCATACAGGTTTGGAATGACATGAGGGTAAGTAAATGATGAGAGAATTTTTGGGTGAACTATCCCTTTAAGTAAAAGGTGCAGTTGCATTTACTGTTGTTTGATGAATTTTCGCAGGAGAAATCCAGTCATTTCAATCGGAATTCACAAGATCTGATTTCTCCACGCTCATTTTGTAACTGGTTTAAGTTGGTCACATGGATTCACCGCATTTTGAAAGTGACAATGCATCGCTACACTATTGACAATAAACAATAGACCTTTTTTGCATGTGAAATTTTGCCAATATGATGCAGGGGTTTATTACAACTGACTGTCCTTAAGATAGATATTGAGAGCACGGTAATACTGATATTCGGTTTGAGTTTTTTTCCACTGACGTGAATGGCAGCTGATTTTTTTGTCATCTCGAGAACAATTTGAACAGGTGAATGAAAGAGTGGTTGAAGGAGTTACGGAGTTTACGCCTTTGGTTTTAACTGGCCAATCAAATGCACTCTGCATTCAGACCACATGCATCACTCAGTAATGGCAGGATTTTGGTTTCATGAACGTCCAGCCTGTTTGAGACTCGCCTCTAATCATTCAGAAAACTTTTGGAAACCGTTGAAAAACAGTCCAGTCTTTCTCCCATCTTCCAGAGTGCCACCTCCCTGTACATCACCAGTGTGCCTCTAAAGACTTTGTATGATTTGATGGATGTGTGAAAGAATACATTTTTGTTTGTATTTTTAACGTGAATATTTTGTACATATTGTTACCTCTGTGAGGCTGTAAGAAGTGCATGTGTGTGCAATGGTTTGTGCAGTAAAACTCAACCCTGAATCCACTGCTTCACTTTTGACCGTCTTTTAATATTTGTCAACTAGTCTTGGTGGATAGATGATGATTCTTTAACATTGGAGCTAGTTTTATCACTTCATTAATAACAATATTGCCACCTTCTAGATTGAATGGTTGGCCATGGCAAGCACATACATCATATTGGAGTCCAAAACGCACATGAATGGTTCCTCAAACCATGTGTCTTTTTGAAACGAGTTGTTCGGTTTAATTTCAAAGCGATCAGACTTGCACTTTGCATCTGGAGGAGGGTTAGTTCTTTTGACTTGGGTCAGCGTGTGAAACGCAGCATTGTAGGAGCAAGTTGCACAGGCAAACCACTCATATTTTGAGATTTGTTCATGTTTTTGTAAGAAGTCTCTTCTGCTCACCAAGACTGCATTTATTTGATCAGCAATACAGCAAAAACATAATATTGTGAAATATCATTGCAATTTAAAATAACTGTTTTCTATTTGAATACATGTTAAAATGTAATTTATTCCTGTGATCAAAGCTGTATTTTCAGCATCTTTACTCCAGTCTTCAGTGTCACATGATCTTCAGAAATCATTCTAATATGCTGATTTGCTGCTCAAGAAACATTTATGATTATCAATGTTGAAAACAATTGTGCTGCTTCATATTTTTATGGAAACTGATATATTTTGTTCAGGATTCTGATGAATAGAATAAAAAAAAAAAACAGCAATTATTTGAAACATATAAAAATATTACTAACTCCAAACGTTTGAATGGTAGTGTACATATAAAAAAAAAATATATCAGCAATAAACCACTCAAATGTACTTTTTAATGGCACAATAAGATAGAAACAGACCCAAATTCATTATAGTGCATCAACACCTGGAAGTATAAATATTTAAAGCACTCTAGAGAGACAGATCTGGGTGTGTTTAAGTGCTGAAAACTGTCTAAAGAGCTTTTGGTCACATTTGATCTGCACTCGACAGAAAAACAAACCTCTTGACAGTAGAAAAAACTCAAACTCTTACTGAAGAATAAATGTGTATGTCAGTCGGCTCCCTCTGTGATGACTGAAGACACAGCGTTGATGTAATAGGGTCCCTCGTTCAGGTAGGTCTTCAGCTTTAAGTAATTGTGTGCTCCAAATATCTCCTGAGCGCTGGAGGAGCTCAGCAGCACCCCCACCAGCTCAAACTTACAATCCTTTGCTTCTTTTCCAGTCCCCACTGAGCGATCCATCACCCACTCCACGAATCCAGGAGTGTCCATCATCAGCTGCTGAGCCCACGGCTGACAGCCAACGGCCTGGACCCAAACGAGCAGAGAAAACAACTTACACATGCATTTAAAGAGAACACACCACACACACACACACACACACACACACACACACAAAAGGTTGTTCGACTTCAGCTGGATTTAACAAATTGGTAAGATTTGCCACTTGCAGTTGGGGGAGGAGTTGAAAATTAAGGAAGATTATTTCTGCCATGTAATTAAAAAAGAAAAGTTGATTGTGACTTTTTGAAAGTCTCAATTCTGACTTTTTTTCCTCGCGATTCTGATTTTTTTTCCGGAGAAAAGTCTGAATTGTGAGATATAAACTCAGAAATGTGAGGGAAAAAAAAGTGATAAAACAGAATTGTGAGAAAAGTCAGATTTAAACTCAGAATTGTGAGGGAAAAAAGCTGAATTGTGGGGAAAAAAAAGATAAAATTGCAAATAAAAAGTTAGAATTGCGAGAAAAAGTCAGAACTGTGATGAGAAAAAACTGCGAGGAAAAAGGTGAGATATAAACTCAGAATCGTGAGAAAAATGTAGGATTGTGAGATAAAAAGTTGCAATTGGCTTTTTATTTTTTATTCCGTGGCAGAAATAAGCTTCCGTCGAAAACAGAGCGGTCAAGTTAGATGTTTTTCCATTTAATACTTTATGTAAAATAAAGTTCAACATAAGCCTTTACTATTTAAATTGATAAACGTGTCACAATACAACATTAAGACTACATGAAAAGAGATTTTACTGTTATAAAACATGGATTTGTGAGCATTAGAGCAACTAAAGGTATCAAAAGAAACACAAAACGTGTCATTGTTGTCATTGGTGAATCTGCTTGTGAGAAGCTGCGCAGAAGAAGCCAGCCGCCTGCTCTCGAATTGCTCTCGTGATGCTTTAATGACGTACGTCACTATTTCAAGTCAGACAAAATTTCTAACTGGCATGCACTGCATTGATCAGTCTGCGCAGCACCACGTAAAACACACCTAAACACACACTCTCTCACTTACAGTGAAGATTCGTAGCACGCTGCAGTGGAGCTCTGGGAAGGGCTGTGTGCTTATGTTTCGGATCATCAGCATGGGCTGAGAGCTCAGACAGTTAAACCACGACTCGGTCAACAGTAACAGGTCATCCGTCTGCTGCTCCACCTACACAAACCACAGACATCTCACAGCAAAAACCTCCATCTGAACACAAATCCTGTTAGAAAACACAGCGACACACACTCACAGGCAACGTGAGGAGCTGAGCCAGAGCCTCCAAACATCTGACCCGGAGTTCAGTGGCTCCATCAGCGGCCACTTTACTGATTCTCTTCAGCACGGACGTGAACTTCTCTCCTGTAACAGACAGCTGAGTGAGAAAGAGCTCAAAAACGAAGTCAAGCATCCCTGTAACTAGTAGGGCTAGGTATACTGATTCAGTTTGGTTAGATTCCGATTTGCAAGCTATTCATTTGATTCAGTTCTGATGTGGGTTGATTAAATTCTGATTCATTTGGGAATATTTTGGTTTTAATGTCCTTTTTGCTTACATATGAAAGTAATTCTCTCTTAAGGCCCGTTCACACCAAGCACGATAACTATAAAGATAACGTAATGATAACAATAAAAATATAGTTTTAAAAATCATTCTAAATTTAAAAGAATAGCAGAGTCCACACCCCAACTATAACGATAAAGACAAAGAGAAACGATATCATTGGAATCACTTTCAAAAAGATTTTTTTCCAGCTGATGAACGATAAAACACTGACAGCCAATCAGAATCCATCCTGCTGTAGTCAGCTCAAGAATTTAAAGCGGCAGACGAGCGTGCACTTAGAATAAACAGACAATATCGTTCGCTGGTGTGGACGCTAATATCTTTATAGTTATCGTTCTTGGTGTGAACGGTGCTTTAGACAATAATAATTATTGTTATTATTATAAAAATGTTCAGCAATTTAAATATAAACACTACATATTGAATAATTACAGTCACATTTCCAATGATTACTGGATTACTGATTCAATTGTGACTCATTTTGGAATATTACGTACAAACGTAATTCTCTCTTAGATAATGCTGTAAATTATATATAGAGAATTAACATAAAAATGTATGGTTAAATAATTAATGACAAGGCCCAAACTTTGCAGTTCAACTGCTATTTGTTCAACAGATAATCAAAACTGCTCTGTGGATAGCAA